GGGTTTACACAAGTCTCTCCTGATTGTATGTCGTTAAAAGAAGCCATTAAAACACTGTAAGAAAGATGCAAAGTTCCTTTTCCAAACAGGGTAAACATGCGCTTGTTACTGTAGTTAGCGGTTTAGTTTTTTGCTCTACTTTTAAATAAGGTCTGAAACTTCAGTTTAAAACTCTGGAAAGGCAAGCAGGAATAGGCTTAGGTCTACCCCTCTGCTTTCCCCATTTCAAACTGTCCTTTGTGCTAGAGCTAGCCTCTACTGAAGGGACTGTCCTTGTTGGTCTTCTATCCACATTTCTGTGCGCAATGAAATGGGTTTCTGGTCATTTCACTTTGGGTTCTCGTGCACTAGGACAAGGCAGCAGTTAGGTGGCAGACATTGTGGGGTTGTCATTCTCTTTAAAAATTGCACATTGTAACTTTGGTCCAAAACTATGGACATGCTTGTTCTTGCACAAAAGGTGTTTGGCCCGGTAATGATTCATTCAAAGTCCATTTAAGCAGGTTGGCTGCCTGCTGTGGAATGTCTGACAGCTTTGTTACCATGCTGATTTTCTTTCTCTGATGGGGTAAAATTGTCTTTCTCAGGCTGAAGCGCAAAAGGAGAAAGATGAGGCAGAGGTCTAAGTAGATGTCTTCTCTGTTGCTACTGAGGCTGCAAAGCAGAGCAAAGAAACGTCGGAGCTTGGGACGCAGACCTCCAGACACAACTACTTCCTGGTGTTGCAGAAGTGCGTCCCTACCAGTCTTGAAGAGTTTTCCATCTTAAGAATGAAGGTCTCATCCATATGGATGATAGCCCTGAGCTTTGACGTTCTGGACTGGTTCTGGTCTTTGTAGTTGAATGTAGCAGGTATACAATAAAGAAACCCTGGTTTGGTTGGGAATTCAGCATGTTTTTTCTTAATGTTGCATTTTAAATAGTTGATTTTAAAACAGAATCTCAATGTGATCTCTAGGCATGTTATGTAACTTGACTTTTAAAGCTACTTGACCTGCATCATTCAGCCCTCTTCTCGCCGGCTTTCTGGGCCTTTTCCCTATACACACAGTCGCATGGCCTGGCTGAGGAGAAGAAGAATCCACTGAATCTAGAAATCACTTTTGCTGAAGATGTGACTGGGGAAAGTGTTCAGATGTCCAGGCCACAATGCAACACTGTTGTGAGTTGTAGGAGTGTGTGATGCACAGTGCATGTGCGCACATACCCTGGTACCTTTTTTTTATGCAGGAGGTGTAGCCTTCAGAATTAACAGTGCTGGGTTCACACTGGTCCCTGAACAGTGACTTCCTAGTATAAAAGTGTTGGTTCTTGTACTGAGAGCATGGATAGAATGTCTGCCACTTGTCAGAGCATTACATTTCTGCATTTCGTCGGGCTTATCCACAAGTTACATTCCCCCGATGAAGTGGGTGGCACAAGATGTAGATGGTGCATTGAGATGTGGATGGTGTAACTGCTTGCATTAAGGGTAATCCCTTTCCCAGAAGTCTTGCATCTGAAGAAGTGAGGTTCTTACCCACGAAAGCTTATGCTCCCAATACTTCTGTTAGTCTTAAAGGTGCCACAGGACCCTCTGTTCCTTTCCCAAAAGGCTACCTGCCCTTTGATTGGAACTTCAAGGAAATGAACTCAAATGTATAGCACCCTTCACTGAAGACTTAAGAGCGCTTTATCCTCTTTTCCAGGGGGTAATGCTGTAATCATGAATATGCTGAAAATATAAATGCTGAAAACTGGATGGTGGATAATCCTCTGGCAACCCCTCCTAGCTCAGCTAGTCATGAGGACCGGCACAGTCCACTACCTAGCTTTGTAACAGAGGCCCTCTTTAGCTCACGATAGACCAGGTCCTCCTTCTTCTTGTGTCCCAAAGAGTTTAGCCTAGGCACAATGCCCAGGTGTGTGATTTGAGTCTTGGGCAAGCTGCCCAGCTGTGATGGAGGTGGGGGGGGGCTTTCCCAGGGCTATGATTAAGATGCCCCCCATCAAGGGCAAGGCCAGGTGACCTCAACCTGTTCAGTCTCCCCCTAAGGTGGAACAGCTGTGCCACAGGCTAGGTGTTAAGGCCGCCATGTGGGTCGGGGTGGGGGGAGCTCTGGGGGGAGCTGGTTGCCTGTGTGGGCCCCAGGAGGGGGCAGTGGGGCAGGACCCTGTTGGGCGGGGGTCCCTCAGGGCGAGGGGCTGTGGCCCAGGTAGCCACGACAACCCGTGTGGGTGCCGCGGTGATGCTATTGGCTGGAGCCGACCTGGTGTTCCCTGTGATGTCATTCATC